CCCGAATGCCTTACCAAAAAGAAAAAAAAATGCCGCTCTTTTTCAACTACACATGTCTGTGAGGCCAGGTTTTCTTTATACATTTGAACCAAAAACAATGTATTTTTGCTATAGCTAGGTGCTAGCTATAGAATATTCAAGCCACTAGGGGGAAAAAAAACCAGTTACAGATTATCCCTAAACTTTGATCCTCAGAATATCCAAAGTAGGTAACTTTTCATAAAAACATAAATTTTATCTTTTAATTGTAGAAATCTGGATTTGGTTCCAATGCAACAATTAGGAGAGTTTTCGTAGTTAAACTGTTTGTACAGAACTTTGAAATTTGTAAACAACAATTCAGCAATGCAAAGTGCAGTCAAAATGTTTTTCCATTTATGGGAATCTGCTTTTTTGTTGTGGTGGTTTGTTTTTGTTTGTTTTAATCTTTGGCTCTTTTTCTCTTTTCATGATTGTTTAATTACTCTGTATGGGTCCCAGAGGCTATTTGGGAAGTAGGTAGCTACATCTATGTTTTGTGGGATTGATGCCAGGGAAATCTCTCAAGATATCAGCTTTGGAATCTTTACTAGGAGGGCTAAAGAGTAAGGAAATCTTTCCTGTTCTGGCAAGAGCAGGGAGGAAGTTGTTTCTTTATCAGTAAAGTCCCAATGGTGTCCAAGGTACCTCTAAAAGAATAGCTTGAGTTTTTATTACGGGAAAGTCATCATAGTGCCTTGCCTCTCTCCTTTTTTCATTTACTTGAAACCTCAACAAAGAAAAAGCATCTCTTAAGTAGTAAAAATTCTGTCAACCAAAGAGATTTTAATTCCTTGTTATGAATTTTAGGAAAGTGAGGAAGAGATAGGGGCAAGGCACCAATTCCTAAATTTCTTAGTGTTATAGCATCCTATTATTTACTTGGTTTCCTAGTGCCTAATCTACCCCTCCCTAAAGGAGTGGGTAGCTTTTATATCCATCTAGCGATGTGTCCTACTTAAAACCCTATTCTGATGTCTCATTATGATATGAAGATGACCCTGAATATACCAACTTATCATAAATCTTACCAAATTGAAAAGCCTTCCAGTACAAGCCCTGGGATGAACAAGTTGCATGTTGTCTGAGGACTTGCTTTGTTAAGGTCAGGAATACTCATCACCAGGCGTGGTACAATGGGAAATACACTTAACTTGTAGTCAGAGGAACTGGGTTCAAATCCTGCGTCTACCGCTTTTGAGCTGTGTGACCTTGTCACTTAACCTCTATCTAGGCTTCTGTTTCCTTATCCAGAAAGTGAGGGCTTGAACTAGATGGCCTCCCAAAGTTTATTTCATTTCTAAATCTATGATCCCATAACCACGGGGCAATAATTGCTTTTTAATAACAATAACTCTAAAATTATCAACCCAATCAATTTTCAATTATGAATCCAAATTATGGAACGCTTTCATCTGTATCATTGGAAAAAGTCATGGGCCATCTCTTTGCTTCACCCTAATTGATTCTCTATTGCATTCCATGTAACAGCTCTTCCAAACCTTCTCTTCCCTGTTCCAGCCTGGCACACTCCCAACCCTGTGACCAGATCTTAGAGCTTCGTATTCTACTGAGAAAACAGGCCGTTTGCTTTGAGCTCTCTCTTTTCTTGTACCCTGCATCTCAAAACCATTTCACATTATCCCCCATTCCCTTGTTTCATCTGCTGTGCTGAAGAGGTGATCCTTCTTCTGAACAAAGCCAATTGTTGTGTTTGTATCCTTGGTCCCATCTTCTTTAAACAAATGGGCTCTTACCTTCCCCCCACCCCAAATCATGATGTCTGTCTGATCTCATTTTCTCCTTATTGCTGGCTCATTCCCTACTACCTACAAACATGCCCAGGGGCTTCCTCTTTTTAAAAAACAACAACAACAACAACAGCAACAACAACAACCCTCCCTTGACCCTCATGGTAGCATCCTATGGCGCTTCTTCCTTTCACAGTCAAACTCATGGAGAAAGTTGTCTACACTCACTGTATCTCCTTTGTCTAGTCTCACTAACTTCCCAGCTCCTTGGAGTCTAACTTTTAGTCTCATCATGCAACTGAAACTGCTGTCTCCAAAGTTACCAAGGATCTCCTAATTGCCAAACCTAATGACTTTTTCTCTATTCTCTGTCTTCTGGACCTCTCCAGCATTTCACACTCTCTTCTCTAGATTTTCATACTTCTTTCTCTTAGTTCTTTTCCTTAGTCTCTTTTGCTTTATTTTCATTTATTTACCACCATTTAACTGATTTTACCCCAAGGCTCTGCCCCAGGCCTCTTCTCTTCATACACTCTTTTATTAGTTTCACTAGGTCTAATGATCATAATTCCCTACACTCTATAGCCATCCCTTTAAGCTTTAATCCTTCATCATTAAATGCCTATTGGACATTTTGAACTGGATGCCCCATAAACATTTCAGATTTAACATGGCCAAATTGTTAAATCTCCCCCCACCCCCAACCCACCCTTTTCCCAAGCTTCCCTGCT